TTTCCATTCGAGTGCCGTGACGTCATTCTTAATAACTTATGTCATGAACAAAAATACGAACTTAAAATTCCAAACGCACATAATATGTTTAACATAATTCGTTACATAATTGCGGAAGCGTAAAATACTTTAACATAATCAATGCTAATTAAAATATCTAATCAAGCATGATTCAGAAACATAGTCCCGTTTTTCTTCATTCACTCGTCTACTRACAAATGACACCTGAGATATATACATGTATAGTATAAGCAAAAAGCTTAGTGAATACAATATGGTTTCATGATCACATGCACACACAAAACATCGTTTTAGCGTATTTTAAATTATTATCTTGCAAGTGAGGCCTCGGCTCGTCACTTTTCTTTGCGTATGTGGCGTATTCTATGGACGAGGACTCCAAGACCTCGGAATTGCAAGCCCTCCTTTCATGTCCAACCCACCCCGTACGGTGGACGAATCTTGCTGTATCATACTAGTTGCATATCATTTATTTGCAATACTCACTCATTAATGCAAATCTCATCGTGACATGCAACATACATTTCATGCAAGTGACAACATAAATCATATATGCATCATCGTCATTCTTTTCACATTATACACATACTTGAATATCATATTGATAAKAACAAGTCATCATAATCYTTCTCGTCAACATCACCTTTCATATCATGCATATATTTAAATATCATGCACATCAATGTAATCAAGTTATCATCATATGCATATAAACATATCATGCATATATCATGGATAAAATACTTTTGTAATAATCATGTATATATCCCATAAAAATCGCATAATGTACTCACCTTGAACTGTTAACGTTCGATAGGTCGTTCTCTCAAAAACGGCAACCTACATGATAATTTATACCATTCCTAAGCATATAAAATAATCGTAATTAAATTGATTACTATTCCTTAGAAATCTTATCACGGATTTTCCTTTTATTGGTCGACCCCCAATAACATCATATCTCATGTTTTACTCCAATATTTTCTTGAAATATTATTAATAATGTGACGTCGTTATAATATTAATTGTTGTTCGTACATTTTATAAAATAATGTACTACACTTCACATTTTCTTGAATAATAAATATTTTACCAAAATAACTAAACTAAATAGTTCGCAACGTAAATAATGTTTTGTGACCAAAATGTCTCGTTTAAGATTCGCAAGTAAATAAAGGTCACAACATGTCACGCACGTATAAATAACGGTCGTTCCATAACTTTAAAGTTCAACATAATTAATACTCGAAATAATGTGAGAATACCAATTTCCCAAGTCTAGGAGCATTTTGGTAAATCATAAGAAGTCGAATACCAAAGGTATAACTTTACCAATTCCCTAAATTAGAACATTCTTGGTATATTTCATAAGTCGAATATTAAAACGGTGTTTAAAAGTCCAATCCCAAGCATAGGGGCATYTTGGTAATTCTATTAAGCAATACTCAAAGTATTGTTAAAATACCGATTCCCTAATTGTGAGGTCATTTTGGTAATTTCGTAAGAAATAGATTTAAAAGAACACTTAGATACCAATTCCAAGACATTGGGTCATTTCGGTAATTTTATAAAGCAAACACGTAAAGTATTGTTAAAATACCGATTTCCAAATATAAGGTCGTTTTGGTAATTTTATAATATAAAAATGAAACTCATAAACCAATCCCCAAGACATATGGTCATTTCGATAATTTTATAAAGCAAATACGTAAAGTATCGCTAAAATACCGATTTTCCATTTATAGGGTCATTTTGGTATTTAACGAGATAAATAATTGAAATGAAGTCAAAGTTTGTATTTTACAAAATACAAACAAACTTAACGAAAGTTTTGTAAAATTTATGTAAAGAAAATTATATTGTTGAAACTRTCCAATGTATACTGCATATAAACGAAATGGACGCATACTAAGTAACAGGTTACTGCGTAGCCCACTGGTTAGCGCATGAGCCTTCAAGGCTGAGGTCGTGGGTTCAAAACCCGACCTCAGCTCATGCCTTTAACCCTTTTTTTAACAGGTCACCCAGCAGCACCATTGGTGTATATATTTAAGCTTTTTAAGCTTCAAAATGGCTCGTTTTTTGACCGTTTTTCTTCATTCTTTTTGCGCCAAACTTTTGGTAATATTTTTACCAACACTTTGACATAAAGAACACGAATTTTCATCAAGAAATGAGTTCCATTTACTCATTTAAAGTTTGTTTTTAAAACTAAAACTTAACAACTTAAAAACATAAAAATCGTAGAACGAAAACACAAATATGAGACATGAGRCTACTGGGGTTTGATAGAGTACTTAAAGACGAAGTCATAGACATAAAAATCAAGAGATTTGGTTAAGAATCTCACCCAAAATCGGTGAAAAACCGAGATTTTCGGTTCCAAACTTCAAACTCAGATTTCTCTCTCAAAACTCAACGATTTTTCGAGCTATTTGAACCAAAACGTTCCTAAGCCAGAGCTCTACAATTTATATGCCAAGAGTTTTGGCTTATTAGTTGAAGA